GACACCCCTACAGCACTCTGCGCCCTGCTTTCATCTTATGCTTCGTAACCAAGGCACAGGCACCTAAGGATCTTGGTTTCTATAGCTGGGTCCATGGCTGTGCGCATCCCTTCTGCCCAGACTCTTTGTGAGGCCTCCTTTCTGTTACTTCCTCCACCAGATCCATGGGGTTATTTATTGGTGTTTGAAACCGGTAAAGGGGAGAGTATCAGTTGAGGTTTCCAAGGCTTCTATAGGAAATACCCAGTAAATGGTAGCTCTGGCCATTCCTAGTATTCCCACATGTGCTTTGGGGACACATGAATCAACTAGGTTAGGGACCTCGAGGACAGACTGAGCTGTCCTGGGGTGGAGTTGAGCTGGGTCTTTAATCACACAGCTCTTCTTAGACACATATTTCTGCCAGAAGAACTCAACAAAAGGGTCCAAAAAAGGGGGAAATGACGTGGTGAAGGATAGACATTGACTTTTATCTTTTAATTATTTTTTTAAAAAGATTTATTTATTTTTGCATACAAGAACAAGGACACAGACCAGACCTGTGGGGTTGGTGAGAGGATTCATCAGAGACAGAGCAGGCAGATCAACTGAAACACACTGCTGAGGGAGCAGTGGGCAGACCAGGAGAGGTCTGCTGCACCATGTGGGTCACCGCCCCTGGCTGGGGGGTCGAATTCATGCTGCAGTGGCTACAGGTAGTTAAAGCTCAGTAGTGCTGAGCTTTAACCTGTAGCACCACTAGGGAGGGCCCAGACATTGACTTTTAGAGGTGACACACCCCTTCTTCCTTCCCTCTGGTCCTAACCACTCATAGGTCTCATAGTCTAAGTTCCCTTTAAAAACAATTTAGTTTATGTTTGTTTTCTCCTCATACCACGTGTGTGAGTGAGTCATCCAGTGTTTGTCTTAGTCTGCCTCTCTCATAAGCATAATGCACTCTCGGCCATCCAAGGTGTTGCAAATGCATAACCTCATCTTTTGTTAAAGGAATGAATTCTACAGGACTGTGTTCCATGTGTACGAATATAACACCTCTTCTTGCCCCATTCTTCAGTCAGTGAATGGGTCCTGAGGCTGTTTCCAGCTCTTGATTATTGTAAATAGCGTTGCTATTAGTCTTTAATCACATTATCCTTGATCCACAGGGTGATTATTGTTTGAAACTGGTCAAGGGTTGAGTGTGACTGAGGTTTTCAAGGCTCCAAAGCAGCAATTTCTGCAGGTATAAGTGCCCAGTAATTAAAGCTAAACATGGAGATGCAGATATCTTTGAATTTGTTTTTTGTATTCTGGGGGTAATACCCAAAAGTGGGATAACTTATTTAATGGAACTCCTAAGTTTTGGAGGAGTCTCCCCACTGTTTTCCATCACAGCTGCACCAATCTACACCCTCACCCACAGTATAGAAGGGAGCCCTTCTCACCATATCCTCCAACATTTAGTTCTTGTCTTTTGGATAACAGCTGTTCTCAGCAATGATATCTCACTGCTGTTTTATTTACTTTTGTTATTTTTAAATGAACTTCATTTTAATTTTGCATTCAAGTAACATTTTCCAGAAAACGTCATCTATACTTTAAATTGATTTTTACGATGCTTTGGGCTTTTGTGTGCCACTTATTACATATTAAAACAAACATTTACTTTCTCACATGATTGCTCATTTTGGGCAGTATTTGTCCAGTATTTGATTTCTCTTCTCAGGTATAGTCCCCATAGTTCTCCCAGCACCACAGAGCCAGCGATCCATCACCATAGTCCCTTGGGCTCTTCCTTCCCTGGTTTGACCGCCTCAAATCTTTTTCCTGATCCTTTGTTTGATTTCTCTACATTTTGTATGTAAGAGAAACCATCCGATACTTATCGGACTTATTTTGCTTAGTGTAAGGTCCTATGGATAGAATAAAACAAGGAGAGAGAAGTAAGAGAGGGGAAGTCTTTACTGCTCTCCTGGGCCAGGTTCACAGCCCAGCGGGTGCCTGAGAAGTCTTGCCAGTTTACAGACTAGGGGTCTTTTGTACATCCTGCTCTGTCGCTCTGTCTGGGCTGGGGAGGTAGTGGAAAGCCATGCGGTCCTTTTGGTCAGCGGTCCCATTTGTTTAAGGTCTTTGATCCTTATCAGAACGGCTATCTAGGGTAATATCCTGACAGCCAGCTCAGCAGCTCATCTTGATACGGAAAATATGCTTCCTTTTGCCACTCTGGGGGCCTGGATGAGGGGCTTGGGTGACCTTTCACTTAGCACTATCTCTTCTAGCTCCATGTTGCTGCAAATGGCATGCATTTATCTTTTTTGATCACTGAGTAGCATTCCATTGTGTGTATATACACCACATCTTCTCCATCCCCTCATCTGTTTGGGGGCATTTAGGTTGTCCCCATATTTTGGCTGCTGTAAATAGTGTTGCTGTCTTACTGCTGTTTTGGTTTGCAGTTCTCTAACAATAAGAGAGGAACATCTTTTCATATGTCCGCTGGCCAGCTGTGTAGTTTCTTTGGAGAAGTATTCATTCATTTCCTTTGCCTATTTTTGAAATGGGTTGTTTATTTTTTTTTTCATTGTTGAATTTTCTGAGTCCTTTGCATATTTTGGATGTATGAAGTACCTTTGCCATTTTAAGAGCATGGAAAGATGAAATGGCGTTGGCTGGTAAAAGATACAGGAAGAAATAAATGTTATTGGAAGGGAGGAAGAACCAGCCATGAGGTCTGGCAGTCCCTGTGGTACCAAGAAAGGAAATGATGGTACTGGTTCCAAGAAGCCGGGAAAGCTAGTAGGAGGGCCAGAATCAGCAGAAGTAGCCACTGGGTCCAGGAAATGGTATTACATGACCAGACGTGATAGAGTCCACATAGGACACTTAGAGATTTTGAGCCATCCTTGGGATATCACCAAGGTAATAAGCAGCAAATCTGAATTCCCTCTACATTTGGGACTTGGGGAGTGTGGGACAATATTCCCACTGCAGACCAGAGGAAGGGTTTCTTCTCTTTGTGACAAGTACAGAAACCAGCAGGCAAGGCCATGTCCCGTTGGCTCTCGCCAGCCGCCCTGGCTTTGCTTCCTGGAGAAGGAGCAGGGGAGGTAAGCCAAGCCAGGAATCCTCAGGCATGTGCATTTTCCACAGCAAGTATTTGGACAGCTAAGGTACTTACCTGCCAGCAGAGGGACTTGCAGGAAAGGATCTTGATTCATTTGGTGACTGCTTGGAGTATTTACTTTTAATTGAATTAAAAACACTGCAATGTTAAAATGGAAAAAATAGTTGAGGAATGAAAGAGGTCTCCAGGGGGAACAAGGAAACAAAGAGTAGAGATACACGGGGTCTAGGAGGGAGGGACCTGCGAGGTAGGGGTTTCCTAGCATCTGCATCCTCTCTGAAAATTATAAACATCAGCAAAAACTGGGGTGATTATGGGGAGAGGGGAAATTCCATAATGAAGCATGGCAGCCTGAGGGGCTAGAGATGACACCTCTCTGGGATATGTCCATTCATACATATTTGTAAGTATATGTGCACATGGGCATTCTGGGGGACTATACAGTTTGAAGCAAAGTTTTAATCAGACTTTAAATAATTTTATTTTACTGCCATCCCTTAAAAAGGAACCCTTTTGGAGTATACTCCTGTCTCAGAAAAGTGGAAAGATGTTCTCTTTTCTTCCTGTCCTGTGTAACCTGAGTCCAGTCCAGCTGCACCCTCACCTAGAAATTTAATTTCAACCACTGGATTCATTGATATTTCCTATATCCTATCACGTTTAAAGGTAATTTTTCTGTCTTCATATCTCAATAATGTGTGGTAACCTGCCCATTTGACACCAGGCAAAACACTAATGGTACTGTGACTTGCAGTGTTTCTCCTAGATGATGACCTACATAGATATAAAATATGGTGTTTAATCCTACCTCCAAAGAAGTGGCAACAGGAGGAATTTCAAGTGTTGTAAGACTGGGATAGAATCATTGTATAAACAACTAACCCATTAAATCATTATTAAGTTTGCTATTAATATAAATTATTAAATTGTAAAACACTAATAAATTATTAATGAAAAGAAAAGCTAACCTTTAAAAAAACATATACTAGGTGTCAGGCAGCATTTCCAAGTATCCATTTAATTATCAGCACAATCTATGGACTAGGAATGATTTGATCCCCATTTTTCAGGAGAGATTGAAACAGAGAGACATTTAACAACTAGCCCTAGACCTGGCAGCCAGCAAGTGGTGGTTCAGGGTTTGAGCTCAGATGGCCAGGCTCTGCCAGCGTCGGTGGAAGTTTTTTTGTGAGAATAGGGTGTGGGAGTGGTGGTTGGAAGCTCTTGCAGGGTATTCAGTGGACAGTTTCTCATGGGCATGAGGTGGCCTCCAATGAGAGATATTTGACACTAAAATTCACATCGCCTTTCTAAATCCATTTTCTCTTCAGAAAAAACAAGGAGTGTGGGAGAAAGTGGTCCTCACAATCCCTTCCGCTTCTAAAATGAGTAACATCTCCAGTGTTTCTGCACTATAATGCTGGTCTCTTGGTCCCTGTGGGGAAGATCAGTTTGCCTCCTAGAACCTTCCAGCAAGAAGCTGCAGGATATTGGTAACAAAAGGTGAAGTTTAGAGTTCCAGGAAAGGCGACCTTTACCAAGGAACCTCAACTTAGTTATTATAATAGATGCCCAGTGAGTTCTGTGGGTTTTAAAGCGACTATATAATTTTCACAGGAAGCTTGTGAAGTGGGTAGTATTGTCTCCATGTAAAAACTGAAACTAAAGCTTAGTCATACCCGGTGACGTGCCCAGGAGGGCCCAGGTAGTAAGGGATGCAGGCAGGCTTCAAATCCAGTTTCACTCCAAAGCCCACATACATTTCACAACCGGCGCCTTTATTCACATCTGTCATCTCGTTCAAATTCCACGGCCAGCCTGTGGGGTGGTTATCAAGCAACGAAGCGACTGGCGGGAGTAGGTGGGAGAAGAGCCGGCAGAATGGCGCACGTGGGCGTCGCATGACTCCCACCTCCTCAGGTCTCCGCCACGCGCTCCCCCCGGTGAACTACACTTCCCGGCAGGCCGCGGGCGCGCGCACACGCACTGGGGCCTCCGCCATGGCGACCGTGCTGTCCAGGGCGCTCAAGCTCCCGGGTAAGAAGTCGCGGTTTCGCGACCACCCCACCTGCGCCGAGCCGGGGGAGACTCGGAGACTAGGTTCTGGGGGAGAAGCCGGTGGGGGCCTGGCTCCAACTCGGGCGGCGCTGCAGGGGCGCGCAGGCGAGCCGGTGCAGCCCCCGCGGCTGGGGTCCAGGCGCCAGCAGGGGGCGAGAGGGGCTCGGGAGGGTCGGGGGTCCTGCGCGCGGGGCGAGTCTGGGAGACGTCCGGGGGGGCGCGCGCGGCTGGAGGGCGCGGGCAGGTGGCACCGAGGGCGGGCGGGCTGGCGCGGCGAATGTCAGAGCGCGCGTCGTCGTTGTCCCCAGGGGAGAGAGCGCTGGGGAGGGAAGCATCCTCCCGAGTGCCGCGGCCCGGGCGCCGCAGGGTCTCCAGCGCCTGGCGTCTTGGGCTGGACCTGGGCTGGCGCTGGGAGCCGCAGGTCGGAGAGTGGCCGTCAGGAGCAGACTCACCACTCTGTGCCAGCATTGAGGCACCCTGAGGTAGGTGGCACAGGCATTCCCCGTAGTTTGCAGCAGGGGGGAAATGAGAGCTATGTAAGTGGTTAATTGACTTCCCCAGGGTCGCCCAGCGTAATGGGAAAGCCTGGACTGGAACGGGTGGGGCTTCAGACTCTAGATCTGGCCTTTTCATTCTGGCCAGCCAGCCTCTGCCCTGGAGGCTAAGCATTTATGAGGGAAAAGATTTGGCCCCTGCCCGTTGCAGGTGAAGTATGGAATATTCTTTGAGGAGTCACTAGCAGTGATGGCAACTTCCAGAATTAATTCAGTACTTTGGGCAGCAGCTCCATGTTTTTTTTTTTTTTTTTTTTTCTTTTTTCTTCTTTTCCTTAAACCTCCAGAATGGGACTCTGCCTTTAGAGTACTGCTCTTCACAAGTTTATTTATTTTGCCCAAGTAAATTGAACACTTTAAGGCTTTAAATCTTTTTATGGTTCTATGTCAATAAATTGTAAACTTCAAGCTATCAGCATTTGTTTGCTGATAGATAAGTTGTTGGTCGGAAAAGCAGTTGTTTTCAGTGGCATTGTTAAAAGGGTTAGTTGGGTGTCTCCTAGAGATCCAGCATGAGGCTGCAGGGAAGTCTTGGGGGCCTTTCAGGGAACTTCCAGTGTGTACATTGTGCCTTGGGTGGCACAGGCTGGAAGTGAATTTGATAGGTCTTTGTGTGTCTGACCTCAGTTTTTGTTTTACATGGGCTCATTAGAACATTAGAAGGAACACTGACACTGTCTCTCTTGCAGTGGTTATGTAACATTGGTGTTAGGTGTACCTTTACCTGTGGGATTCTTGAACTTTGCAGGAAGTAGCCTTGTGGAGAATTAATTAATGGAGAATGACAGCCTCCCAGCAGGAGTAATGAGGTGTCAGACATAGTTCAAGCTCATTGGTGTCATATCCGATATTATGCTGTATTTCTTTTTTCTTATGGGTTGGCTGTTTCTTTTCAGCATAAGTAATTGCTGTTCTCAAGGAATGCAAGAAAATCTTGCTTTTGGAACTCTGAGCTTTTTTGCATTCTCACATCATGAGTTTGTGGTATTACCGTTCCTTGGTATGTGCAGGTGCAGCAACTTGGTCAACTGACAAGGTAGGGAAAACAGTTGGCAGGCAGCTGGGGCCTGAATGGCCAGGGACATTTGGCGCTGTTTTGTGCCTAGATAATGTAGCCATATGTTCTTTTATGTAATGTGGGTTCCACACTCTCCCCCATCCTTGCACTTTTCCTTGTCTCCTTGCCTTTCCGCTTCCCACACAGAGTACTCTTCTGAGCTTTGCTACTAATAGAAGTTGCTTTCTCAGGACTCTTTTGGAGATCCCCTAATTAGATCTATTTGGACTACTCAAGTCACTTTAGTTAGTTATCTCATGTCACTGTCACCTTGGTTAATATGGTCACTATTTTTACGTGAAACAAAACAGAATAGGATGGTGAGTAAGAGGAGACTTGAGTTCAAATGCATTAACTTGAATATAATAATACTAATGTTGTCATGGTGCATGTATTATGTGCCCCATGTTGGCCTTGCAGAGTTATTTGGCATATTACTAGAGATGGGTGTGCTTAAGAGGTTTGTTAACTTTTGACCTATGTTTATTATTCAGTCTGTGTTAGCTGTTATTATGATCACTGTCAGCCGTATGATCATTGTCATTTATCACCGTGTGATACCTGCAGGGAGATGGACTGCTTCCTGAAGAAAGAGCAGTTGTTGTGATATATTAAACACTTTTCCACTAAGTTCATCACGGAAACTGGAAAGTATTTGGCTCACATGCATGGAAGGGTTAATTAGTAACCGAAAGACAATGTGGTATTCATAAAGCAGCTTGGGCACCTTATCGCTTAAGTATATGTATTTTTTAGTTCATTTAAAGTTTGAAGGTCAAACACTGAAGTGATTATCAGAGTATAATGTATTGTTGGTTTGTTTTTTTATGTGCTTGTTTTATTATTATTACATTGATTATGTACCCCTGCCTAAACTAATACATGATGTGAACTGTTTAATTGCAGTAGAGTGTAGCGTCTATGTAAAGTATAAACATATTATAAAATAGTAAATAGTATGGTATATTTTCCTGTGTATTTGAGCTGCAGCTCTACATATAAATCCTCAGTGCCATTTAGGAGAAGCTATTTAGCCTGCATCTTCAGTCTTTCTAAATGGGAAAGTGATGCAGTTGTGGACAGTTAATTTATATTGATGGGTTATGAAATCAATGCTCTCTTTTATTATTCTTTGAAAATCTTTCATTGATTAACAAGCTGGGTGGTGGCAGAAATCAGCAGAGTGCTAAAGTGTCCTGAGCTTTGACACATGGATTTGATGTCCAGCTCCCCATCTTGAGTGTAACTTTTTTAAAAAAAGATTTATTTATGCATACAGAAATGGGGTATAGGCCAGAGGTGCAGGGGTGGTGAGAGAGTTCACCAGAGACAGAGTGGGGAGCAGAACAAGCAGATCGATGAAGTACACTGCTGAGGGAAGCAGAGAGCAAGACAGGAGAGGTCTGCTGTACCATATGGGTCACTTCCGGGGCCAGGGATCAAACTTGCACTGGAGCAGCTGCTGCTAGCTTTCAGTGCTGCGTCCTAACCCGTTGCGCCACTGGGTAGGGCCCCTGAGTATAACTTTAAAAGCAAGTCAGTGTGCTTTTATATTTTACTCTCTCGTGTCTTACTGTGATTAGAGAAAAAAATATTTACTTAAGAGTTCTATATTCAAAACCTACAGTCTGTAATAATTAAGCTGAGGTTTATCTTTGTCTGAAAAACTATATTAATAGTGTGAGAGTAAATATTTGTCCTTCTCAAGAGTTTGCTCAGGAACTGGTCATAGTATTTTAGGATCTTGTAAAGAGACTCAGCTTAAAATGGCCTGAATTCTTGGACTTTGTACCAGTGTTTTCTCTGAAGACTTTCTCCATATTGCTCCATGATCTTTCAGTAATTTTTAAAAATATCACTGGGAAAAAATCAACCTGATTTTTGTTTCTCTCATTAAGTGACGAGTTTTTTTCCTTTGGCTTGGCTGCCAGAAGAACAAGACTTTGTTCTTGACATTCAGTGTCAGTACCAGAATATGTTTCAGTATTGATTCATCTGTATCAAATTTTCTTGGGACTCAGTAACCCTTTGTTCTATAGATTTCAGTATTGCTTTATCGCAGGCACTTAAAAAATTTTTTTTAAATACATTTTTTTAAACTCCATTTTCTTTTCTGTTCTCCGATTATGCATTTGTTGGATCTGTTTGTTTTCCATATCTGTCTCTTTTTCATCCCCTTATTTATTTTTTTAATCAAATCTTATTGATTTGCTGTATCAATAACTATGTAGTTTTGGACTCCCAAAACTTCCCTCTTCCTAAGTACAGATCCGTCACTCACTCTCACCGAAACTCCAGTGCCAGTGCCTACCTCCTCCTGCCTTTCTTTCATTCCCCTCTTGGAACCACCTTTGAGAGCCTAGGAGTTATTTCTGTTGTGTTTTGCCAGTTTTTCTTTGATTGTTTATGTTAGCACAAATGAGTGAAGGCATTGGGCTTTCACTTTCTGACTTATTTCACTTAGCATATCGTCTCAAGATCTGTCCCTGTTGTTCCAGAAGAGGCAATTTACTCTTTTATGGCTGAGTAGCATTCCATTGTGCTTCTTGTCCTTGATCTTTTCATGGGAGGGAGCAACATACGTAGGCAGTACAGATTCAAAGCCAGACTGCCTGGTTTGAATCTTTGCACTATCACCTGCTTGTCTTTAACTCAGGGGCAGTTATTTAAGCTTCTAAACTTCTCTGTTATCTCTGAAATGGAGATAGTTAATGTGTCTTCCTCAAAGAATTGTTAAAAAGGTATATTGGGATAAGACTTTCAGAACATGTAGTGTTTTGCATAGTTATGTACTTAAAACTACCAGCCATGATTGTTATTTCCATTTTTTTTTTTGCTTGATTTTCATGTGTCTATCCTTTATGTTTTGGAGTCTCTCTCTAGGCGTATCTGTTCTTTTTACTGATCCCCAAAGGGTTATCTTTTCAATAATTGTTTCAATGTTTTCTTTGGTTATTTTCCTGAGGCCTGAATGTTTACTTTTCCTTTCTTCTTGACTGGTCATTTCTCCTTAGAAGTATAATATTCTTTCTGTGAGCTGTTATTCCACAAAAACTATCTAATTTACTGGATCCCGTGGGAAATATCTACACGTTATTTTGTCCCATCTTTATATTTCTTCTGTCATCATTGTTTAATTTTTTTTTTCACGTTAAGTTTTGAACTGTTGACTGGATATTGTCTGATTGGACCAAGACTGTCCAAAAAAAAGCAGCCTCCTCAGTATTGATTGTGCCTGTAGCTCCTTGTCTAACCTGCCAGCTGCCAGCTGCTTCCTGTAAAGGTAGAAACTCAGTCTTTCCTTACCTTTGACTCTGTGCTGTTGATTGGGGCTTGCTGATGCTTCTGGGACCCCACACTTTGTCTTT